TCGGAATGAGATTGCTTCCTAAAGCATATTTTCATAATCAATTCAACTTACTGATAAATAGCATCGGAACGAATGACATGGCTATCGCATTAACGAACAGCAGAGTAGAAGAACGAATAGCATATTAGTAGAAATTTTAGTTGTTGCTGAGTAATCATCGTCTTCAATCATTCTGCCAAATCGCAGACTGCTTAAGATATGTGACATCCGCTCATCTCAACAGTAAAAATTACATAACAAGCGCGACAATCTTACTTTTGAAATGCAAATAGAACGTTTAAAATTGGAACCGTTTGAAAACCGTGAAGGTTAAAAATTGTTGACCAACATTTATTTATTGTCCGGATATGATCTGCTTCACAACGCATCCTCGGTTCTAACTACATCAGCTTCAACGATAGAAAACCGTGAAGTAGGGATTTAAAGTACCTCAAATCTTCCAGCATCAGCTGAAACATCTCCGTCAACTTGCCGTAAGTAAGATGTAATTCCACCCTACTAAAGCTCTGTTCATCTTTGAACATTTCTTCTTTTTTACAAATGTTCGTCATACTGTTGACATGCGTTCCAAAGAAATGTTCAGTAAATTGAAACACTAGGATGAAATCGAAGCCACATATACTTCATTGAATGAACTATATAAACATTTTTCGTCTATAACTTAAATAGTAAGAGAGCCATGGAAAACGAATATTGGAAATTTTACGTCGCGATTTCACATCCCCAACACGATGATCAGACAGCGGACGGGAGTGAAGGACACTATCGCCAAAAGCAGAAGGAAGAAATCCCAGTCGGCCGGGCGCATGGCATGTTTCACTGACAACAGATGGTTGCGATGATGATCGACTGGTATCCTCGCGAAGGGATCATGCCGCTTGATCGCCCCACTACAACGGTGAGAAAAGTATATCAGGAGCCGGGTAGGCCGAGCATTGAGAAGGAAGCCTCGAAACGGCGAGAAGGGCGGGCGTGTTACAGTCGGCGCGATTCATCAGCGATTACCTGTCGGTCCAAATGATTCGAAGTGGCACGGTCTTGCTTGTGTCAAACGGTTTCATAACAGAAATCAGGATATCCTATGTAAGTGACCGACTGGCTGTAAACAAGGCATCTAAGATGGTGAAGCATTGCCAGCGAATGAAAGATAGTCGACTTGTGAAGGAAATACAGAAATGAACGCCTGATGACAGACGACCGCTATGAAGACCTCCAACAAGATGGAGAGATCTCGCTATAAATTCCATAGCATTGAAAGGACTGAAGAATGAGCCTGCATTTACCTGATCTGTGTAGAACGCTTTTACGGCATGCGGAATTGCCTTCGATGCAATGATAGAAGAAGAATATAAACAACTGATATAACTGCAATGTATGAAACTTCTTTTGCAACTCACTGACACCGTATAATGTACTTTCAGTTGCTTCACATTAGACAGAAGCCCTCGTTACAGATAAAACAGAGACAGCTGTACAATGGACAGAACTACTAAGAACAGCTGTTAGAATATTAGTTTACGTTTCTTGTAACACTGGCATTTTTATTTTAATAGTTTTAGTCATTTCTGCGCGTTCCACCATGTTAATTCACTACCATTTCTCTGTATTTATATTCATGACAAGTAGTCGTTTCAGCAAACAGCTCTAATCTGACAACGGGTCCTTTGTCTACTGCATCATCGTGCTCAGTTTGTATTCCCTGCAATGCTTGTTTTCCTTCAACTAGATTATTGAAGATTTTAATCCATTAAGGCTGTATATTCATCGTCTTTCAATTTGCACTATCAGCCGGTTCTTTTCTAACATTTTCGCTGTTTCTCTTCAGACTTCTGATGCATACACAATGTACGAGGGCTTGTTGAAAACTAAGCGAGGTCACTCATCTCAGCCAACAAATCTCAATCTAAAATTAGGTGGAGTGGACCTCGCAATTACTGTTTTTGTAGGTTGTTATGTGATTTAAATCAGCAACAAGAATTTCATATCTTAATGCTTATCGACAAGACACAGTCGTGAAAACAGCCAAGTTGTGTAATATGATTTTTAACTGTTACCAGCAGTCGAAAGCCGATTCTGAGCTGCACTCAGCGCCGCAATCGTCGAAGGAAGCAAGCTTGGAGCCAGCGGTGCCGGACTGGTCAAGAAAAGGTTCATTTCGTCGGCGGAGCATTGAAAAACTTCGATGTAGCGATGCTTCTTGCCTATTTGCAAATATTTGTTATGCTGTTCTTTAGCGGCTGCGTTCGCTGCTGCTTCACTGTCCATTTGGATGAACGCCTCACCACTTGGATGGCCCTATAACAGAACACATAGTCAAAATCTGAACAGCAGAACAAGGCCATGAGTCGCCCAAGGTTCAGCTACCTGCGCATTGTACACCATGTGCACCCCTTGGAAAACGATGTTCTTGGCAAAAGTGCCCAAGAAATCGAGTATATGATGCACCTGTGCCTCATACGGCAGGCCACGAAGACGAATACAGTCCTTTCGAAAACCGCTGATCAGCGCCTGCTGCGGAATCAGCGTCGGGATCATACCATTGATGTTGCAACCAAGCGCGTCGCCACCGTTCGACAATGGATTTAGAATGCCCAAAGCATGGCCGTTAGCCAAGTCCAGCTTAGAATTCTCCATGCTTTTGTTGATTACCTAAATCAGCGACATAACACGGGATCTAGCATGCATACTGCTTGATCAAATAGTTTATTCTTGATTAGAATCAAAGATAACGGAAACCGCAGCACTGATCAGAAAAATTCTATTGTTTCAAAGCAGCAT